CATAGGCGGAAATAAAAAAGAAAAAGAAAAAAACTACACACAATCCTTTTATTGCAAAAAGAAAAAAAAAAAAATAACAAAGACTTAATTTTTTTTTTTTTTTTAAAATCAGAAAAATAAAATAAAATAAAGAAGAAAAGGCAAAACAAAAAACAAAAGAAAACAAAAATATATAGAACTATATATCAATAAGAAGCAAAGCAGGTGCATAGGAAATTAATTTGTAATTAAGAAATAATAAAAGGTGCTATTTTCCAAATATGATAAATATGATCATCTAGCGTATATTTAAAACGTATGCAGCAGAATATAATTTTAGTTTGTGGTACATTAATTAATCAATTATTCCACGGATAATATAATTAATTAATTAATGGAAAAGGGTAAATGATGAGTTATGGTATATATATATATATATATATATATATATATATGTGTACATATATAATTTCATATACTATATGTATATGTATGTTTATTAATGTATATGAATGATTAATCTATTTTTGAGTTAAAATAATTTTGAATAATTGATTCAATGACAAATTGATGACAAATCAATTTGATTGCAATTACAATAAAGGGAAATTTTGCTTAAACTGTAAGGAAATCGATTGAAAATGATGGATTATATCAGAATTAACAATTAGCACTTCATTAGCAGTTCGGATAATTCAATTAAATAAAAGTAATTTTAATTGGTTGTTGTTGTTGTTGTTGTCGCTGTTGTTGTTTGGTTATTGTTTGTCGTTTGTTGTTTGTTTGTCGTTGTTGTTAGGAAAAGTTTTTAACTGATTGTATGACTTGAGCGTTGAATATGTGATGCACGTTCCTGAAATTAAGAAAAAATTTTTTTTTTTGCCCTAAATAATTAAAATTTTCCATTTTCCTTTAAGTAATTTTAAAAATTTCAACATAAAATAAAGTGGTTTAATTCAAAAATAATTTAATTTATCATATTTGAAATAATCTAATTTGCCATATTTCATTTTGAATGCAAAAAAAAAATTACTTAAATAAGGATTGGATCGAATTATTTATCAAATTTTATACTTGAATAACGAAATAATTAAATTTTTTAACTTAATTGATCACATCTTATTTACTTCATTTTTTTACACGTAATTTTTCCAATTGAATTAAAAATATTTATTGTAAAATTAAATCAATTAAAATTGATTACCTCTCCCTCTTTGTTGAAAAGAATGGTTTGTACATTGGAGCCAATTCCAAATGAGTCTTCAGCATCAAAGACCAATTGTTCAGGTGGACTGTATACTCCTTGGCCACGAGCCCAAACCTAATAATTAACATTATTTTTTTTTTTTTGTTAATGAAATTTTTTACTTTAATCATTCATTAAAATATGATGACATATTTTGAGGTCAATTCATTGAATTTTGTAAAATTTGAATAATTTAAAAATTTTTTGTTATCATTCCAAAATCATTTCCGCACATTGTCAACGTTATCTCAAACTGCTAACTGTTAAATGTTAGGAATTAGAAAAAGTGTAAATTTAAAATTCCTGAAATATTATTTTATTTTGACAAAATAGTATAATTGGAAGAAATTAATTACCTTAACCGTTTTTCCAGGTCTTAAAATAAAATCTCTCGGGAAGGTGTATATAATTTCACGTTTACCATCAATTTTTCTCTTCAATCTCCATTCACCCATTGGTTCCTCCTTGGAACGATGAGTGTTTTCCAGTAAAACATATTTACCATCTGATGCAGCATCCTGAAATTTTCATATATGATCCTGAAATTTTAATATCTAATCTTAAAATTTCAATACCTAAAAATTTCAATTCCTGTCAATGTTACAATAATTTATACATTCTAACTTGCATAAATTAATACAAAATTTGGTACGATAATTATCAATTAAATTTTAAAAAAAATTTATTTTTCGAAATTTTTTTTTTTTTTTTTTGAATTAATAGAATAAAAGTTAACCTGTATTGAAATATTGCCTTTAGCAGAACGTTGAAATGACGTACGACTAGCTGTTTCACCTTTTAGTACACGAATACTCTCTTAAAATATCAAATTTGGAATTTGTTGAAAATTTCAATGCTAAAAAATTTATAAGCTAAAAAAAATTACAAGCTAATTTACATGCTAAAAAAATTTGAATTATCAAGTACCATTTCATTTTTCTTTTTTAAAAATCAATTTTAAAATTTCAAAAGAAATGAGAAATAATCATTCTATCATTTTGCTAGCCAAAAAAAAAATAAAATAAAATTCTAAATTATGCATCATTTCAATTTTAACCTGCAAAAACAATAAGTCGATAAAGTTAAATTAATTTTTAAATCAATTTTAAAAGTTATAAAGAAACGTCAAACAACAGAAAAGGAAAATACACGAAAATAATTTTCATGAATACAATTAATAAAGTTAAATTAAATAAATAATATCATAAGTATGCTAATTAATTATTTAAAAAATTTCTTTGCTATATCTTCGGATGGAAACAAACAGAACAAAAAAAAAAAGTTACCAAACGGTGATCTGTGGTAAGACATCTTGTTAGGGTGAAAATTTTTGTAAAAGATGGCAAAATTCTGATAATACCCCCCAAAAAAATTACTGTCATTAATCAATAATTTAAAATAAAAAATGATTGTTAATTGAAGATGACGAATCGAAAAAAAAAAAACCAAAGGTAATAAGAGGGAAACAAGTTTTAAATTGGAATATTATTACTCAAAAAAAGAATTGAAATTTTCCCTACATCCTTTTCATGGAATTCCTTTTTTTTTCGTTTTTTTTTATCTTCTAAATTTAGCAAAATTTTTGAATCATTCTAACAAACACAAATGCAAATCAATCAATCATTTATATTTCAGTTAAATTTTGATGAAAATAAACTTTAATTTTAAATTTCATGCAAACAATTTTTTTTAATTCAGAAAATTTAAATAAATTTTTTTTTCTTCGTTTTTTAATGAATGATTCAAATTAAAGTTTAAATGATAAAGTTGTGAAAAGAAAAAAAAAAAGATCATTTCCATCATAAAAAGCTGATTTTATTGTAGAAAAAATTAAAAGATTTGAAATAAGCATAATTTGAATCCTAAATATGAGTATAACAAATTTCAAATATTTGTAAAGCGCAATTGTCGCTATGTGCTTTTTGCATATCATTTCCATAATAGCATTTTACTCCTATGAATTGATAATTTTTAACCAAAATGATATGAAATTTGAGCTAAAATTTATTTCAGCCATTTAAATTTAATGTATGCCGGAAATGTTTCTTTTTTTCATAAATCGTAAATTCAAAAATTTCCGGAAAATATCAGCAGCTATAAATTATTTTCAAATAATTTTGTTTTTTTCTTTTTTCTTTTTTATTTTTTCAATTTCTCTTTTCTTTCAATTTTATCATAACATATAATAATTAAAAAACTATAAAATTCCAATAAATAATTTATGTAAGTTTAATAAATTATTTTAACAAAAATGAAATTAAAAAAAAAAA